GAGAGAGAATCGCGCAAAATAATATAAGACATACGGGATAACATGTGAGCACATAAGGCCTAATAGATTAACATTATTGTATATTATAATGTTAATTATATACTAACTATTTTTTAGCTGACAATATCAATGTTTAATAGAATAGACATAATAAGTCATTATTAATAACATGTATTTTTATGAGTCCCATATAAAATAAGGAGCAATACAGGGAGTGATATAAATGATTGCCATAATTATAGGTAACAGATATTTGTGAACAATACACTGTTTGTGAAATTAAATATAAAACTAATAGTTTCCCAAAACAAATTATATTTTTTTAAAATCTTACTTTTAAATTATATAAAACTATCATATTTGCAAATAAATAGAAAATACGATATAATCGTAGACCTCGGATGTAGAGTGACCAATCGTACAGGTTTGACCTGTACAGTACAGGTTTTGAACAATCTGTTCAGTGTACAGGCAGGGGTCTCGCCTGTACTATATAATATACAGGTGAAAAATTAATACAATTAATTCCAAATCTTATACTTTTATAGCAATATTATTGGATTTTAATCTAAAATACTCAATTTTCTTTTAATGTGGTCAAAATTGTAGTTGAAATACGTTTATATTTTAAATAATTTATCTCCTTACAATTTACACAATCCTGTCTATACAGAAATGCGATGTATGGTTTGTACAAATTATGATTATCTATAATTATGCTCTGTTGAAAAAATTAGTGTCCAGGTGAGCGTACAGGAAAGGTTACTAAAATGTACAGGGATGTCTCGGAATTTCTAAAGAAAGTATAGAAAATGTACAGGTTTCTCATTTTTCGAGTTGGTCACTCTACTCGGGTGTGGGACCGGGTATTTGGTAGACCTGTTGTCACAATCAGTGAAACACAAGCGCATCGTTGGGGTCGACGTCTCGCCAGATATGATAGCATTTGCCGAACAAAACCACAAACCCATGGATTCCGTACAGTATTTGGTCCAAGACTTGAGCTAATCCTGGGATTCATTGAGTCCTGTATTGAAGGCATTGGAGTCTAAGGTATCGCTTATTATATAGGATTTTATGATCCATTAGTTACCCAATAAAAGCCGACTAATGCATGTCGTGAGCAAACTATTGGCCAAAAACGGGGAATTTGTGGCCAATTATGTCCGCACACCGGATGTCATGTCATTGTTAAGCGACGAACAGAAACGGCAATACAATATACAAGTAATTAATTAAATACTTTATGAAATAGTGTTTTAATAAACATCACACTATAGTTGCAGACAAAGAGTGAATCGCAACAATTGGATGAAATACAGACCGCGTGTTCGGACAATGGCTTAAATGTGACCAACATTTGTGTCATTTTGCACACAAGCCGTGTCAACAAATACGCCATTAAATGTAGGTTTTATTCCAGTTTTTTAACATTGCAATTTATGCCCATTATTTAAAATAATAAAAGTAATATTTAATACTAGTATATTTTAATAAATATTCATTGTTTTATTCAACACTCAATACTTTTTAAAATAATCAATGTCGTTTGTGATATAAATGAAGGTGATTTAACAGCAATTATACGTAAGTACGATTATTAACATTGTAACTAGTAACATCATCTTATGATCCTAGTTAAAAATAAAATAAAAGTTCCCATGGAAAGGTTAATTTCTAAACAATGTAAGTACGCAATGACTTAAAGTAATTTAAAGTTCCCATGATGGTGCGATATTACAATTGTACGCATAATACTATTGTTTTAAGTTCAGTTCTTTGTATCCGTTTTTATTGACAAAATACTTTTTGTTATTTCATTTTTATATATGAAAGTTATAATACCAGTAAATATTCCAAACATGTTACATCTAAATATAACAATAATTATTATATATTCCAGTATAAAGTCATAATCAATGGAAGTGGAGAATCGTATTACCTCTGAATCGCTTTGGGATTCGCTAAACATTGTTCAAAAATGTCTCACAACGTAAGTCAATATAAGACCTAAAGTTGCATAGTAATAACATGTATAAATATATAAAATGTATTAAAACATATTCATTTAATGAATATTGTTAAATATGAATCCAAATTCAAGGTGGGTGTATCCGCTATTTTGGACAGGGTGGCGTAAAGACAAACTAACCTACAAGGATCTGACTAGATGTTCGGCACATGATCAATCGCAACAAACTGTTGCTCAATTAGAAAGGCAATAGTTTGATAATTTGTTGCATGCTTATTTTTTATGCAATTTTATTAACTATAATCAGGATCTGGAATCTCGAGCGCGAGAAACAATCGCCAAAATTCTGGTGGGCATTGATGCGAACGTATGGCATAGAGTTTACGATACTTTTAACTATAATTGTGTTCGTGGTAAGTTTAATAATAAGTTATGTTAAAATTTTACTACTCATGTGTCAATGAAAACACAGTAGTAGACAATAGTGCTTACAGTTTGAACATTACATTTATTGATTCTGAAACAAAAAACACATTTGTTTGTGATCTATGAGCTATGTAGCTAGAATTTAAATATTAATTTAATCACCTCATTCAATTTTAAAAGTAATTTTATATTATTTCACACAGGAATGTGTTATACGTATATCGGCGCCCCTGTTGTTGGGCTTTGTGATCGACTATTTTGCCGGTCAAACGTACCTGACGTTTGCCGACGCCTGTATGTCAGCCGCTGGTATGGTATTTGGCACTATCCTGTCTGTGGTCATCATATCACCATGTCAAATACGTATTGGTCAATTAGCGATGCGCGTACGCGTTGCAGCCACTACTTTAATGTATCACAAGGTAATTGTTAATTGTCTCAATTGTGTACTAAACATATTTTATAGACCATGGTGATATCATACACGACGGTATTAAATAGATAATTGTTTTATTCTCTCTCTCTCTCTCTCTCTCTCTCTCTCTCTCTCTCTCTCTCTCTCTCTCTCTCTCTCTCTCTCGCACACAACACAAC